GCACAGGTCATGTCAAACTAACTTGATTGCATTCTACGAAGAAGTAAGTAGAAGTATAGATCGGGGTGTTGCAGTGGATGTGATCTATTTGGATTTTGCCAAGGCATTTGATACAGTTCCACACAATAGATTAGTGTTCAAACTCAAGGAAATCGGTCTAGATGAAAATGCTTGTTCTTGGGTAGAACATTGGCTTAAAAACAGAGTAAAAAGAGTTGTCATTAATGGTAAATTTTCAAGCTGGACAGAGGTGGCAAGTGATGTCCCTCAGGGGTCTGTTCTGGGACCCCTTCTATTTAACATGTTTATAAATGATCTTGAAGACCACATTGAAAGTCATGTTTCAGTGTTTGCAGATGACACCAAACTTTGTAAAGGCAATACAATGTGAGGGCAGGATATTACTTTGCTGCAGAGGTTTAGATAGACTGGGGGACTGGAGCACTCCCAAAATGGAGAGATGAAATTTAATGTTGAGAAAATGCAAAGTTATACGCCAGTACATTAAAGAATACACAAGCAGCGTATACCCTTAATGGAAGCGAACTAGGGATAACAACAAACGAAAAGGACTTGGGAATTGTTATAGACAACAAACTATGCAACAATGTGCAATGTCAATCAGCAGTGGCCAAGGCCAGTAAGGTATTGTCATGCATGAAAAAGGGCATTCATTCACGGGACAAGAATATAATTTTGCCTCTTTATAAATCACTGGTAAGACCCCATATTGAATATGCTGTGCAATTTTGGGCACCTGTTCTAAAGAAGGATATTATGGCACTAGAAAAAGTGCAGAGGCGGGCTACAAAATTAATAAAGGGAATGGAACATATCGGCTATGAAGAAAGGTTAACAAATTTAAACCTATTTAGTTTAGAAAAGCGTCGCCTGAGAGGGGATATGATAACATTATACAAATATATTCGTGGCCAATACAAACCATTGTGTGGAAATCTATTCACAAACCGGACTTTACATAGGACACGAGGCCATGAGTTTAGACTGGAAGAAAGAAGATTTCGTCTAAGGCAAAGGAAACGTTTTTTTACTGTAAGAACAATCAGAATGTGGAATTCTCTGCCTGAGGAAGTGGTTTGATCAGAGTCCATACAGATGTTCAAACGGCTACTAGATGCATACTTGCAAGAACAGAATATTCAAGGATATAATCTTTCAATGTAGGGTAATAACTGCTTGATCCAAGGATAAATCTGACTGCCATTCTGGGGTCAAGAAGGAATTTTTTTCCTAGCTTGTTGCAAAATTGTGCTTCTACTGGGTTTTTTTGCCTTCTTTTGGATCAACAGCAAATAACAAATGTGAGGTAGGCTGAACTTGATGGACGCAAGTCTCTTTTCAGCTATGTAACTATGTAACTATATGTAACTATGTAACCACAGACACTTCTCAATTAAAACCGAATATAGGGTGGTCGTCGTTCGTATGTCGACCATGAGGCGGTGGCCATTTTAACCATGCGAAAGACCTTTACATCTCCCGAATGGCCGGTGTTCGCACACTTCTGTCGATTGAGAAGGGAGGTCGACAGCTTCAGCGGTGTTCGGTTGAAAAAGTGTCCGTTTTCAGTTCCATGAAATAACCGTCGAACACCGCTGTTCCACGGTTATTTCATGGAACTGAAAACTGACACCGGCCGTTCGGGAGATGTAAAGGCACGAATGGACTTACCCCAGATAGCCTTCCCATGGAGTCAATCGCATACCGAAGAACTGTAATAGACTTTGACTCCATGGCGATTGAACTGTGCTTATGGGATCTGAGCGCTATTCACCAATAATATGCACTCAGATCCAGGCTATCTGGGGATGTGTTACACGAATGTAATATGTTCGGCAGTTATAAAGTTATATATTTTTATGTGTTTTGTGACTTGTACTTAAAATGGCAATTTGCCTCTGCTCTGGGAGATAATTGAATTACTTCTCAATTATCTCCCGAACAGAGGGGAGGAAACTGTGATGCATGCTGGGAATATTGTGGGATTGTATGTCTGAAATGTCCCCATGTCCATCTGCTATTCCAGTCTCCCATTTGGTCCCCTAGGGGAGTGTCCACCAAGTGGGAGACCTGCATAAATACGGGCAGGTAGCCCACAGTAAACTCAGTTCGTGTTTTACCCTCAAAGCGGAGCTTGGTCTCGTTATTGGGGGGATTTTATTACCGGCGACTAGAGACGGCTATTTGGAATTATTTGCTGCTTGGAAGATATTGGCAGTTTGTGAGCTTGCGGCTGGTGAAGGGAAGGAGCCGTATGGATACCGTTCAGGAGGATGGAGTGTTCCCTGGCTGGCGGTTCGCATGGTTGTATTGCATACGCTTACAGGCAACATTATTGCGAACGGGGAGCATTCACTAAACGGCGGTTTGTACATTTCATGCTGAAGGTACCGTAACATAAACTCCTTATTACTCCAGTTAAATTGACTTGACATTCCTTTATGCATAGCACATCTGTACTTTAATCTCAGACCACAATAGGACCTTGAGGAACTTCCAATTCATTGCCATCAACAATTTAAAAGCCTTAAAAATATGAAGAATTATCTTCCATTCAATCTTTTTTTTTTAGGAAATTTCTTTTGCAAATTAATTATAGAAAAAGGCATCAAAGCCTTCTGGGTCTCGAGATTTCTTCTTCTTTTGCCTCTTTATCATTTGGTTTAAATTCTCCATTGT